TGCCAACACTTGTATGAATAGCTAATAAATATAATTTCATGGTATTCTATAGTTATCCCAAAGTGTTAATTATAACAGGAGCAGTTAAAATCTTTGGCACAGTTAAATTCTTTGGCTATGAAAGCATAGCAGTTTTTAGCAGATGTATCACCTGGTAACCTTGGACATTATTAAATATATGGAGACTGAAAGCCATGGTAGAAGCAATGGGAAAGTCTGGCCAGACTGGGTAATTTGTTTTAGAACTATGGAGAAATCTATTAACTATTTCTTCTATAGACCAATTTGATTAGGAAGTAGGACAAGCTGTTCTTTCATTGCTTACCAAAATCATAGTGCATTTTGTATCAATTATTTGGCTGTCTGCAGCACGTAGATTAGAAAAGGGCTTTCTTAGTGTTGTGAATGTTTTGGATTGCTGATTAGTAATTAAAGTACTGAATGAAGAAATTAGGCCAAGTAGAATGGGAATAAGAAAGCATTAATTCTGTGATACAGATGTTAGAAACAGATTGTCTTGAGCAGCCCATTCACCATTGTGGCATTCTACTGTGGAGTATTTGCTTCCCATGTAAAACTCCAGTCGAATGCCTTCGAGATGGTTTCCTCTCCCATGCCTTGTGATGTAGCTGTATGGGTATTAATTTAGTGAAATATCCTGACTGCCAGGTGTGGGAACTAGCTGATTTTATTGTAATACCAGATCATTACTTAATTCATATGCAACAGAGTACAGCACATGGAAAGCATTATAAATCTATTTACAATGTGGCTGGTCTGATGATAACATTGTATTAAATTCCCAGGTGAGGCAATTTAAGCAATTGCTTTGCCATGTGCACGCCATGGAAATTAAATTCTCATATATGCTTTAGTAATAAACCGACTTCATTGTTATTCTTTTGCTGATGGTGGGCTGTAGAATCCTCATTCTAGTTATGTATACCTTGTTTCACATGTAGAATCATGGAAGGTGGTATCACAGATCACAGTTTTTAATTAATTTTTAAACTAAGTTAATTCATTTTATTTTGAATTTAGTAGGGCTTGTCCAAGAACACATCCCACTCAGTTGGGAAATGTTAAGGCTTGGGTCAAGTAGATAGATTGTTTCAAGCCGAATTTCCAGACGGAACTGAACAAGTGTATCTGTTTGAACTTAGAATGTGAGAAAATCAGCCAGACAGTATGCAAAAGTCCTGTTCATTTATCAAGTGAAAACCAAAAATCACTTTGCATCTCAAAGTCCTGCTTTCATAACTAAAAAGTCACTTTGTAATCAGTTTAAAATAGGCATTGAAACTTTGTGCTTTAAGGGTAAAAATCAGTTATTCTATTTTTTTTCTACAGCTCATATGTAGCCTATAGATTTTTCTGCCCAACTGTGCCTCGTGCACTGAAGTATGTTAGTTAGAAAGAGTAAGCTTTATACAAAAACAACTTAAAGTGAGAAATATTCTTGTATTTAAGTGTGTGTTGGGTTGGGGGTGGCAAATATTGTCAGTTAAAGCTTTTCCACCCTTATGGTACAGACCAGAAATTGTGGTAGATTACAAACTGCATAGAGCTTCTGTCTTCTCCAGAAGCCACATATAAAGCACCAATAGACAGTGGTAACTGACAACTAAGACTAAAAATGTTGACAATTTCTTGATTTGCCTGGTTAGCTTATGTATAGAAGTCATTAACTATTTATAAAATGCATTATGAATTGGGTTCCTTCAAACTGTAGCTGAATGTGTGACATTTCCAGCTCATATTCTCATGCTTGCATTTGGCTAAAGAACAGATTTTATACTGTTGATAATAAAGTAAAAATATTTTAGTTAGGTTTATCAAGATAAAATAGATGTTTCAGTTTCATTAACTTTGGATGCTCTAAATTAAAGACTTAGGTGGGTACTTAGTAATATAACATGAGGTTTTTAAAAATTCCATAAAAGATAACATTATTGATGTCTTAGAGCAAAATTATCCATAAAATAAGCAATTGGTCATTCAAAGCAATTTGCCTTTTTGGTTTTCAAGGAGTTTAGTGGAGACCTTACCAGCTAAATTACACTTGATTATAATCAGCTTACTTGAAATTTGAAGCTATAAAAAATTATGAGAAAGTACCATTGTCAGGCATCCAAATCTAATTCTTAATACAACAAAGATTCGATTTATTTTATTTTTGTAAAATGAAACTCAAGGGTAAAGATTGTGGTTTTTAGCATTGTCTTATCACTTGCATGAGGAACTATCTGATTCTTGAAATGAATTGTCTTTTCATTCTTTAAGAGAAGTCAGTCCTGTTAGAGAACACTTTGTTAAACTCAGCATATCATTTGCTTAATTACACCCAGAAAGCCGTCCAAATGACCAGTTTCTCCCCTCCCAATGGTAAGGAATGACCTTTATCGAGTCTACCCTGCTAGTCTGGCCGAATCTTTAGTTCTCTTCTGTTGCTGAGCATGTACACTCTTAATTGCTGGTTTTCAAAAGCAGTGGATTCGAACCAAAGCAAAATTAGATAGTTAGAGATGCACGTTTGTAATTTTCTTCTTCTTTTGAAGTATAGTAAATCAAAATAAGAATATAATGTAATTGAATAATCTATGCCAATTTGTTGATATTTTGGTGAAAAGAGGGCTAAACAAAAACAATCTCCATATGATGTTCTTGCATACTGTGGAATGTTTTAGTCCCCCATAGTGATGAAATGAATAATTAAAAAGACAGCTCTGATACCACAGCCTGTTTAAAGGTTTTCATTTCCTTTAATGCTGTAAAATACTTTTGCTTAGCCAGTTTGGAACTACTGTAGTGGAGATCTCCAAATGAGCAAAGGAAATATTTGGCTTGATTTAAGTACTGTGTTAAGGTCATGAAGTGGACTTCCCTTCTAATTTAGCATTTTTCAGTAGAAAATGTGTATGAAGTCCATAGAAATAGCTAAAGAACAGTAGCTTCAGCAAATGCAGTAAGAGAAGCAGGCTTACTGTATGCATTTGTGGCGGCAGGAAGTCTACTGGGTTCACGAATAAATTGGGTCACTCTGAAGGTGAATAGATGTCTTTGCTGACCTCAGGCCAATGACTTCATTTCTCTAATTTGTCCTCTCTGCACGTTGTTGGTTTTATTTATTTTTTATTTACTTATTGACTCATTGCAGCTACCAATGTATAAGATACACATTTGTACCAGGGACATGGAGCTTGTGTTGGATGCTCAGGGTAGAAAAAGGATCCCACGATCTCCTTAATGAGGAAACATTTTGCAACTCTAGCTCCTTTTTTTCCTGAGTCAATCCAGAATAATAGATTGGGGAGGAAATTTTACATGGTAGAATGAGCACTGGGCTGTGAGTCAAGACCCCAGGGTTCTACTCTCAGTTTAAGCAGAGCACCAAAGCCATCTTTCGAATTCCATAAGATTGCCTTTTTTCCCCTCTAAAAAATAAAGGGGTATTTAGGTTTTTTTTTTTTTTTTTTTCTAGTTTGACTCCATTCAGTCTTTTCCAGCTGGATTCTGCTAGGGCCTTAAGCCCTAACTCCTCAATTACATGTAATGAGCCAAATTCTCTCTTATGTATGAACTAAATTCTCTCTCTCATCCTTGGGAGACTAAGCAAATGACTTCTGAAGTAATTTTCTGTGTCCTATCACTCAGATAAGGAATTCCAATTGAGAAGAGCTGCATCTTTTAAATGATTCAGAAGCCTATTGGTTGTTCTTTTCAAAGGTTCTTCTAAATTCTAATATAATGTTATGTTGAAGATGTTATGATCACTATGTGCCCAAAGAGTGTTACTCATTCACTCGTTTAGAAATAAAATTAAAAATCTTACTGTTGACTTCTGCTCATGGATAATGAGTAGTCATTTTAAACTGTGATACTTTTTCTGGTCACAGTTGAACAGGTAAGAAATTTTTAAGTCCCAAGTCTCCAGTGAGAAAGATTACTGTTTCCCATCTGCCATTTTTAATTGTATTTTTACATAATTCACAAGCAGGAAAGGCAACAAAGTAACTAATAAAACAGAACTTGGGTCTGAAATAATGATGCGGAAATGGAATCTAAGGACTATACACTAGTTCCACAGTTAATTTACAGAACCTTTTACGTTTTCCAAATATGTGTACATTTAGATGATTCAGGAATTGCTTACAGACATGTCCCTCTGAGTTTACAGGTGAGTGTAGATTTCTTGTCAAACAAAATTGCAGTGTGTGGAATATTGACTCATAACCCACTTGTCTTTATTTCCTTGGATTGGGAAAGGTTGATTCATAGCTTACTTGTCTTTATTTACTGAGATTGGGAGATTTGCTTTATCAGACACCATGGATGCATACATACATACATACACATACAAATGCACACACCCACACCCACACAAAAATACTTTCCTTATGGCCATTATTTATAGAGAGCTTGGAGCCGTTTAAATTATTATGTGGACAGAGGGCAGACTTTTAAATTGTCTCTCTTCTGGTTGGTAACATCATAATAACAAAATAAATATAGATGTGCTATTTAGGCATTCCATGGTATGGTGGGAGACATAATTATTATCCTAGAATTAGAGATTTTAAAGGACTATATTTTTAATACATTTCCTGTCACAATATTAGAGGCATATATTCTTGTTTTAATTACAATCTGGTGAGTTTGACACATACATAGCTGTATAGCTGTATTACTTTCAGTTTACAGTTGTATTTGAATGATGATGTATGGAATAACCCACAAGTCGCAATCTTTTTATGAATATTCATAGAGTACTTACACAATGAAGAGTTTTTCTTCATACTGACATTTCAGAAACTTCTAATGTACATTAAATTTCTCAAGTTCAGGAACTTTGCACAACTTTGGTGTGCAGAGTTTAGCCAATAGGTTTCCATTAGGGGGCTCTCGAGGTTTGAGATGATCAGCCTTGATACCAATAATGCTCCGAAGCCTTTACTTTCTAACGTTCATATCGCTCTCTCCCTTTTTGTTTTGTTTTATAGAAAAGGTCACGGATCGCCTACAGTGACGAAGTACGGAATGAGCTCCTAGGGGATGATGGGAATTCCTCAGAGAACCAGGTAGAATGCTAATCAGGAAGGCCCGGTGGGTGGCTGGAGGGTGAAGGAGGTCACTGGCACACTGGGCTCTCAAGCTGCTCCTTAACAGCATTAGCAGCAACTCATGTGGAAGCGATACTGTTTAATGCAAAGCTGGAGTCTTAATCAACTTCAAAATGTTTCTTGGAGATCTTACATTTAACCCTTTACCTTGTGATCACTGTCTGCTATCTTTTAAAGAAATCTTTTCTTCTCTTTTCTTTATTATTTAGTACTTAAGGAATAACTTGAAACACACTGTTTGCAGACAAAGCCAAGGTCTTCACCTCAAACACATGTAAAAGGAATAAAAAAGTACATAATACAGCTTTGATAATAATGCAGTATAATTAAATCAACACTTGCAGCAAAACAAATGAAAGTAAGCTTTCAAAATTCAACAGGGCAGCTCAGTCCCCTATTGTGTAGCTTCTTAAAAATACATTCACCAAAATGCAAATTCTGAGTACCAGTGCAGGGCACAGAGAGCCATATAGAGGACCTGTTTCTGTCAAATCATAGCAATAATAAAAATGATAGTAATAATAAGGTAAGTCTTTTGTGGCAGTTTAGGATCTGTGTAGGCAAATATATAAGATACAATTTCTTCTTAAAAGGGCCTTACAACTTGGCTGTCAATTCTCATTGGATCATACAGTACTGTCATGAGTCTAATTAATGTCCTACTTCTTTCTTTGAATTAATACTGCAGACTTCATTAGTTCATATAAATAATATATAAGACTTTTAAAAAATGTTTCAAGAACCTCAGTGTAGAGATGACTTTAAAAATGTCTCAAACAACCCTAGGGACTGATTGATGATGGGAACTTAAGAAGCAAGACCTAAATGTGTTTATTAATGTTAGTGTGGTGTGTATTATGAATGGCTGTACTCTGCCTAAAGGAAACTGAGTGTAAACCACTCACTAAGTAAATCCAAATTTTAATAAGATAATAGAGCATAATATGTTACATACCTTATAAAATTTGCATAATTATATTTACCATTTCAAATAGATGATATACTGGGTCCATATATGCTGATACCATATTATTTTCTACTATAATGTTTATTATAAACACAGATATTTCCAGTGTGGTTAAGCCCACCCGCCCCAAAAGAGAAGAAAACCACTGAGCTGATTGTGTTTGTTTTGGGAAAGATGGGACCCTCTCTACTATTTGGATGTTATCAGCTTGAGATCAGACATGCAAACACGTTGAGATTTGACATGGGATTTCAGCTTTCCTGATTGAAATGTGAGAATAGCTAACGGGAAAAAAAAAAACACATCAAACATAAAAGGGTAATGTAACAAAGGGTTTTTAACTCATAATAGATTAAGTAATGTGAGGATGAGAGAAAAAATATTTTCTTCCTTTTTAAAAGTGAGATTTGGATTGCTCATAGCTCTTGAATGACTGAATCATGATTTTATTTCCTATCTGATGCAGAAATCATTTTTTTTTTTTACAAAATGTGAATATGTGGTTCTTATGTCATTTATTTAAAAAGCTCTAGATGTTTCCTTCATTTGAAACGACTCCTAATGTAGAGGAAATAGAGAGGAAGGGGGTGTCCTGTCTAACTCAGACTCCATTATTCTAATATATGTTGTAGTTCTATGACAGGGATCCTTTTTTTGAAAAAGAGTGTTCACTTCTTTTAATGGACTTTTTATATGCCTAGAACATCTCCTTACATACTTACAAGTATGATTTTTGTGCCTAAAGAAAAATATTCCACAAAAATAGATTGAGTTCATATTTTCTGAATTTCTCAAGTTATATTCTTGTCACTTTAAAGTGATTATGCAGAGATTTCCCCTGGACTTGTATAAATCAAACTTACGAATTCTGAAAGTGCTTAGAGGACTTGAAGTTTAGTTGTAAGGAGCTGTCACTTCAATATTAACTAGAGTATGATAAATTATAGTCATAAGAATATGTAACTGTTAGATTATTACTTATGTGAACTTTTCAGCCTGAAATTTGAAGGAGGTTTAAAACTCCAAAGAGACCACACTTAACTTTTTGAATGTTTTGTTTTCAAATGTAGCAAAAATTTCCACATAGTGATAAAGCCATTACATTTTGTTTTGAGGCTCTTTGCCATAATATAACAACTGTTGTCACTCAAACTACGATGCATCCTTAACCAGGTGCGGTGACTTGAGAATAACTTTTATTCTAGATGAGTGTTCACTTAGACTGTGGAATCGAAACAGACACTCTTTAAAGAGAAGGTTTTAAGTTGGTTCTTCATACTTCTGGATAGAACTATGCATAATTTATGTAAAAAAATTTTTCTACCTAAGATTGTTATTTTCAAGTTAATTGTTGGTAAATTGATTTTCAGAGCTTCTTCATATATTATTTATGAAAAACTTTAAATCTACAGGTAAAAGTGGGAAATAAGCAAAATGAGTCAAAAATATAAATATTCACACAAGTTAATATTGCTGTATTTCATTTAAAAATATTAAGAGGTTAGAAGAGAAAACAGTTAATTAAAGAATGGATAGAAATTATTGCAAATAGGTGAAAGAAAATGCTGACTAGTTATTTTCAATGCAATACACATATCCTTCCAATAGTGCCTGCTTTGTGAAGATTAGACAAATGAGAATACAATAGCTATTATTTCTCATTCTAGAAATGTATAATGCTTGGGGTTTTTTAGGATTTTAAAAAACTTGACTATTAATACATGTAATTTCAATCTACTGATTATAAAGCATATTAATTTACTCTTTGGTATATGAAACTTTGTTTTATGATTAGAGATGCCAAAACTTAAGAAATTTAAAATTTTTTCAAATGTGTCTTTAATGCCTTCATACAATACATATTTGATTTAATTCCAATTTAATTGCCTTATCAACGTTCATTTCAGATTCATATCCATTTTATTTAGTCAAATATAGCTCAGGCTTGATTTACAAAGAAGGGGCCGAGTTACATACTTTGCACATTTTTTGCTGCTAGACCATCAGCTACCCGAGCACCATTGTCTTAAATGTTATTATTCTGTTCTTCTAGATGGCCATATTTGCCATTCCATATGGCAACATCTTAATTCCTTGAGAGAGTTGAGTTCTTGATGTACTTAGAGTAGAAACTTTAATAGTTCTTAGCTTGATGATTTCGTTTCATGAGAACTATGCTCAAAAAGGGAGAAAAAGAGCTTTGTGAATAAAAACACAAAGCCTTTCATAGTGGAGTATGATAATGGGACAAATAAGATGTTCCAAGTTCTAGTTTTGAACCCTGGTAGTCTTGCAGTTACCATATGCAAAATTACATTGATTTGTGAATATAAGTAAATCTTAAATAGAAGGCTCAACAAACATAAAAGGAGTAGGATATTTCCAAATGTGCAGAAATTTTTGTGGTGAAGCAATATTTAGCAGATAATGATTGCTTAATTTTTTAATACAAGGTTCTCTTAAGTTCCCATTTGAGCTTGCTGTGCATAAAGTGTGTCAAACTTCAGCTACAGACCAGGGGGTGAAGTCGGTCAATTTAATTCCCCAAGATCTGAGGAAGGTCGGTATCATTTCATATAGCCCTGGCAGAGCAGATCATTACCAGGCACAAATCTGTTCGTTACGTGCTGAGGGTTTATAGCAAAATAAATAGACTGTCATCATAAGTTCAGAAAATTGTGTGTTCGACCCACGATAATGTGTAAAGGGCGTTTAATAGAGTTCAGCATTTATTCGTTATCTGTATGCGGACAGAGACGGCAGTGGCGTTATCAGCTTTAAAAAAAAAATTCGGTAGTTCTGGGGTCACGTGACACACCTCATCCACACAGGCGCGCGCATGAACCCTCACATGCTCTGCAGTGCAGTTTTGATTTTAGTCACAGCAGAAGGCTTAACCACAAGAGATTCCACTGGTTCAAACCAGCGTAAACCAGATTTTTTCAGCCCACAAAGGAACAGATTACCTCTTGTATCAAATTCTGCATTGGGGGAAAAAAAATCTTTGTTTCAAAAAAGATGTTGATTATCATAACTCAACATGGTGGCTTTGCAGGCTTTCATGTCGCCTATGATGGAGCTCGTCACTTGATAAAATACAAAATCACCACTTTCTGTCTAGTCTAAGCATTGTTAATTTTCAAAAATATACCATCTTTTGTTTACGTGAATGAATAACTCTGCCTAACTTAAAAAAAAAAAAAGATAAAGATGAAAACCCTCCCATTACCTAGCTTAGCTACAAATCCGGTCTGGAGCTCGAAGTCAGCCATGCAGCACAAACAAGATAGAACGTTTTTTGTTTGGAACCTATTGAAAAAACAAATGGGTAGCATTTTTAAACACTCATTGATTATGGCAGGGTGGCATGCCCCAAATGGTCTCCATTGCCGAGGAGTAGTTTTAAACTTTGGCCCTTTAAGTATCATAGTCAACTGAAGAATGGTGCCCCCAGAAAGAAAAGATAGCTGTGCGATCAGTTCCCAGATTGTCTCTGAGAATTCATGTTTGCCTTTTTCTCCCATGATGTACAGGTGGTAAAGAGAAAGATTCTAGCACATGATAGACCAGATATTTTAGTATAAAGTTTGACTTCTGGGGAAGAATTGAAATTTCCACATGAAATGATCAGATGTTTACTTGTACATGCTGGCTGGTTGCCGAGCGAATGGGGTGTATGAATTAAAAATAATGGCAACTTCTAGTCTGTTTTGAAAGGATGATAATAAAAGTTGCATTTTCACTAAGAATCCCGTGAGGCATTATGTAATAAATTCTGTACTCTTTTTGGAAAGAATTCATTCAGAAATTTTGAAATTTCATTTTGGACTTAAAAATCTTTTTATATCACCAAGTAGCAGAATAAGCTGCAATACGTACTGCCTTCGGTGACTATGAGACACAAGCAGTGGTAAGCATTGGGAATCCTGGCACTTCTAGAGAGACTTAGAGTGAGCCATTCATGACGCATTTCTCACCAAGCAGTAGTTCAATTCATTGCCCTGCCAATGTCAAGTGTTAGAACAGATGTTAAGAGACATTTGGATGTTTAAAAATTATCAGTTGTAGAGTTGAATTGCTGAAGATGCACATTGCAAACCTACAGCGTGGTCTGCAGTCTTTTACAGCAGAGGTTTCAGTTTCTATTCACTGCAGAAGCTGTGGTAGACATTTTAGCTATAGAGTGCCGAACACACACGTACACACACACACACACACACACACAATGAGCAAGATACATGGCTATATTCTTGTCCTGATTTCTAAAGAGTGAAGCAGCTTGTTTTATCTGTTATAGTTAAGGCAAATAGAAAAATATTTTACATAGGAGAATTAAAATAGGAGAATTTACTAACAAGAGTGGTTTTTTTAAATTTAACTTCAGTAAAAACAGACTGGAGTACAAATCAAGTAAGAGATTTAATTGCTTTGAGATGACCCAGTTTAAGATAAAGGAAATTGAAAAATGAAGAAATAATTTGAAAATGAAAACAGGCCACATGATTGCAGTAACCTCTAAAGCAAAACAGAAATTTACTTGGAAATCTACATTAGTTCTAAGGATAGTGAAATTTTTCCTGATACTGTATCCTAAATAAGTGTTAACCAGTCTGTCCTACTTTATTCTCAGCTAAAATAATATGACCTCCAAATGCAGTCCTATTACTAATGGGTACAAGTCTGACGTTAACTAGCGTAATAGTTTGTTGTTTTAAATACTTATTGGAAGCAAACCATGAACTGTTAATCATTTTCATTTGTAGGTAAAGTGGGATATCAGTTGTCAAGATTCCAAATAGAAAAACATCCTGAAAACTTGTATATACAAAACCTCTTCAGCGGTACATTCTTAGAAGAGAGGAACAGTAAACTTGTTTTCTTTCTTTATAATATAGACTCCTATGAAGTCGCTCCCCTTTATTTCATGATGGTGTCTTAGATGTACTTTAAAAGAGAATTTCACACTATTCTCTTTGTTTAATGTGACAGTGTGAGAAAGTGATCTTTATTCGTTCAAAAAACTCTGCATGTAGTCTATGTTTAGGTTCTTTTAATGTGTTTGTCTGTGATTTTTAAATGCTAAACATGTAAACAGATAAATTGTCAATGTTAATTCTGTATCCTGTCACACAACTGATCTTTCTTTCCTGCCATTTCTTTCCTTTTTATCTTTTTTTTTTGTGCATTCATGTTGCAGTTGATAAAATTACGTGAAGAGGTGAGTACTTCCTAGTTTCCCCCCATTTTTACAATTTTGCTTTTCCAAATAAAACTGAAGTGGATCTTTGGGCTCGTTTTTCCAGGGAAATCTACACATAGCAAAAGTATTGATTACGTTGCTTAGAAATCTCTGTGACCATCTTTTTAAAAATGATCATATCCTCATTTTAAAGTCTGTGAAAAAAAGAAAGGAATAATAAATGAAAACTTAAAACCATGCCCAAGTATAGTTTTACTATGATATCTGACTTCTAGCTTGTTTTAATTGTGTTGGTTTCTCAAAGAAGTTAATCTGATTTAATTTTTTCAGACATTCTGATTTACTTTACTGAAAACCATTCTTACATAAATTCCTTTCCCTCACCCAAAATTCTTAGGTTTAGCATCTGACACCATGTATCCATTATCCTCTTGGGGAAGTGCACATATAAATGCCCTACCAGTCTATAGACACAGGTACCGAAGCATAGCCAAAGCTGCTGCTGCTGCTGCTGCTGCTGTTGCTGTTTAACAGTTTTTCTTTTTGTAGGAAACTCAGCCAAGTGAGTCCTCATCTTTGAGTTTGCTAATCTGTTTCATAATGCCCTCTAGACATCTTTGTGGCCTAGCACATATTTACTCAGTGTTGATAATTTTATTCCTGTATCAATGCAGGACGTTGAATGATTCTGCTTGTTTTTGTTCCATTAGGCCAAACATATCAAATATACTTTGGTATTCTTTTTTCAGAGATAGAATACTTTTCATAGTTTTCATTTAGTGAGGTTGAATTTTGTTATTTTTCTATTAGGACATAAAATAACAGCCCATGTTGTGATTTAAAAATTGTAGAATTCTTATAATCAGAACACTATGGATTCTTTTCAGGTTTAGATTGGTTACATTGAGGCTTCCCAGAAGTTTTTTTTTTTTTCTTTGTCAATATATCATTCTCTAGGTGACATAAATGTTGATTTCAAGGCCTGCAGACAGTGGTTTTCAACAACTCTTCTGATTTCAGATGCATTACTGGCGCTCTGTCTTGGTAAAAGTAATGACATATACGATATAGGGGAAAACACAAAAAACCCTCACCCTCCAACCTCTTGTGTTTTTTATCTTCCCTACATGAAAGCAGATGTATAAACTAAATGAATCAACTGCAGTTTTGCTGTATTAGATGATTTGTGAAGTGACTGATACTGCAACATTATTATCCTGCAGGATAGAATATCTGCTTGTGTATGTTTGCATATGCTCATGTTTAGGTGAAGATCTGAATTTTCAATGTCAATGGAACTAACAAAAGACTTGTAAACCTCACTGAGATGAAACTGCACCAAAATCTTGTCCCTGATTTTAAGCAGTAAAAATGATTACTAAGTCTTATGCTTCATTACAGTAAGCATTTTGACACATTTATCTTTGTTAGGTTGAATTGTGTAGAATTAAAAAGCTTAATTCTAAAAGCTGAAAATATCACATTTACTTTAAAATACGTTTTATTATGTTCGATGACTTAATTCTTTTGTTTGCTTATAGCAACAATTTCAACAATTCTAGAATTATGGTTCTGGAATTCATGTTTCTGACTATAACCCATTATGAAATTATAATTGGAAGAATTAGATCATCCAATGAATACGATGAAATGTTTTAAGAGTCTTTATTATGAACGTGGCATTGATATTTATAGACCCGATTATGGTGATGGCACTGCACTGGTATATGGTTTGCTCAGAAGTAACTGTTTCTCAGTTGGGATTTTAATAGTAATCATACAGTGAGTGTTATCCCGGATTTCTTACTGGCACCTCTGCTAGGCAGACAAGCACCCATGTGCTCCAGCGTATGATGTTTTGTTGTGTTTGGTAACAAAGGGTGCCCCATCCTATCCTTACAGTGCTCTCTCTGGCTCTGTTTTGGAAATGGGGTATGCTTGGAGGCAGGGCTGGGAGCTGATCTGGCGGTGGCTACTCTGAGCTGTTTGAATCCTGCACCTCCAGCTTTGCACATTGCACAGCTCCTCACACAAGTTGAGCTCTGTCTGAAGCTCCTGCACAGCTTCACTTACCTGCTTTGAAAAGGGCTGAGAAGAGGGTGAGAGAATGAGTTTGGGATGGAGTATGGGGGCAAGTTGAAAGCATCAGCTGCTACTGTAGTGTATTTCCTTTCATTTATAGAGACCAGGGCAATGTACAACCAAGGGAACAATGTAAATAGCGCAGCTGTTACAAGAACTTGATTTTAGTTTGACTTAAGTGAAGAGGTTCCAAAATACAAAGTGAAATCCTGCTGGAAAGCTGCTGGTAAACTGATAGTCCTCTTGTGTGCAGATTTTCTAGGATAAAATTGAACCATCCTGACGAAGTTGCTTATGTTATTTAGGATTATACTTTTTTTTAAAGTTCTTTTAGAAATCTTGTTTCCCATTATAGCCATGAAATCCCCCATATCATTCTACATGTAAATGCTTTATTTTCCATATCCTGTACTATCATATAAGTACAATGTCCATTTCTGGTATTTTTAAATTTACAGTTGCTAATTGTTTCTCTTTAATTTAGGATTTCATCCAGTAGGAAAATCAACCAGAAATCTTTGTTGTCTTATTCTACATTAATATTCAGATTTGTTCTTGCTTTTGCAGATCTGATAGATATCATTTTAGAGAATCACCAGTTTGAGACTATGTCTTTTGTTAAGGTAGAGAACAATATTCAGATAAGGAAAGAGCAATCCTTTCTCCAAGAACCTGCATGTAGGGAGAATTAGGAGTAGGAAAGCTATTTTTGACAAGCCTTAGTAATAACATATTTAATTTTATTTTAAAATAGTCATCAATGCCAAACACACAGACTTCCTCTGGCTCTTCTTTTGCTCAGTTGCAGCTTTCAATGATTTTGCTTTTTCACAGCGTAAGAAGCTTTCCTTCCTTTCTCTGTTTTATTTATTTAGTTTTTCTCTTCCAGGAGGAGGGGGCGATTTTCCCCTTAATTCTCCACTGTATATTAGACAACTCTATTAATTATTATAGACTGTTGTTGCAGCTCCCTGACCTTCACATCAGGTCCTATCTCTCTGTTCTAAATGCATTGTTTTAATGATTCTCTCCCCCCAACCCTTCCCCCCAAAAAATTTCAAGGAAAGCTTTGATGTGGCTTTAGCTGCCTCCAACGTCTGGCCGCATCTCAGATGTGTCACCTATGCCGGGAGGGAATAAGGAAATCACGTTTTGAATGGTAATGATAACATACTAATCACTTCCTTTCTTTGAAGATGGAAGCGAGATATTCTGTCAGCTTCCCTGGCTGCTAGAGCTTGGAGGCACTGGTCTAGGTGTATTAGCTTAAGTGTGCATGTCAATACAGCTTGCATCTCCAAGATCCATGGGGGCTCATTAGAGCAAGGTAGATCGTTTCTCTCGACAGCCACTCAGATAATGTGTGTGGCACCTCCTTTTTTTTTTTTATTATTATTATTAGAAAGCATTTCCACGACTTTAAATGACATCTGTCAACAACACAAAGTTACAGGAGTTATGGTTGCATTTTTTCTTTCTTTTTCACTGGGCACCAAAACTGATTTGAGCAAGGAAGGTATTAATTTATTAAATACTTATATACGTATACAGACATACACATATACAGATCTACATATTCATGTATTTCTAAGTATCTGGACTTGCATATATTCTTATTCATTCCCAGTCATTATTAGCTTGTACGTCTGTTTGGGCGACCCGAAGAGATCTAATGTGTAGTTTAAAAAAAACTCAGTGTAGAAAAAAAAAAAGTCTGGAAGCTGAGAATTTGGGGCTAATCCTCTAATCCCCCCCATCTAATATAATGTAAAAGTGAGAAAAGAGGTATATGTAACTTTTCTAGTTTTAGGTTACAGTCTGAAATACTATATGTTAAAAGTTCACCTTCAATCTAATGCCATCTATATTTGGGAATAGATTCACAGTTTTGTACATCTGTATAAATGGAGAAACACGTGTCTCTTGTTTCTTGCTGGTTGTTCCGAGTTGTCCTAAAACTACAAGTACTGTTTAGTATTCTGTTTTAGTAGCATATGTTGTTCTGTATGGCATCTTGCTACACATCCAAAATTGAGTAGCATTCTCTTAAAAATAAAGTTTCTGTTTAAAAATTACTCTCTGTAGGAATCAAAGAAACAAATGGGTTTTTGAAATGATTGCATTAAAAATACAAATGGGGATCACAGATCTATGCAAGTATCTCATCTCAGCTGAAACACAAACTATCCTTTGGCTCTGGTTTTCATATGTTTGCAGTGTTTTGGAGTAAGATTTATCAGGACCACATACACCACAGGTTGCCTTTTAAAACAAAAAAAGTGGATGGTCCATACATGATTGATTGGGAATCTGTCCATTGTAGAGGTTCTTACAATGGAAGAGTTGCTAAAAATTAACTATAATGGGTTATAACAGCCCCACCCACAAATGTTAGGGCATCGGAAGGCATTATTTTTAAAAAAGGCAAAAAAAGAACATTGTAGACGGCTGTCTGATTTTTTTCTCCCTTTTTCTTTTTCAGAGGGCACATCTGCTCGATAACACAGAGAGGCTGGAAAGGTCATCTCGGAGACTAGAGGCTGGATACCAAATAGCAGTGGAAACCGGTAAGAATTCTGAGAGTGAGCAAATTGTCTTGCTTATGCACAGCAGTCTTCACAACACATGACATTTCAGGGAGACTTCAAAGGAGCAGCAGAGACAGCAGCCCGAGATGTGGTTTACATATTGGGGAGACAATTGGGAGCTTATTTGCGCTTATCTTTTTTCAAGTTAAAAGGCATGACATCTACTGAAAACAGTTCCTGAGGTTTAAAAGTATACATCTGAAAAGAGATGGAATACTTTGTCTAAATTCTACATTTGTCTTAATATGCAGTTACATGTTGTCAGTTTACCCACCCGCAATGATTGCTAGCACACCATGCCGCCTCCAGTTGTTTGCGCCTTTACATTTTATTCACATATGTAAAAATTAACATTTTAATCAGTCTAAATGATGTGAACTTGGGACAAAGAAATAACGATACCCAGTTTACTTTGCATATTTTTTCCTAGTGTTGGAAGTGTTTCCTAATGATTCTGTATTTTTTTAAAATTATGAACAGAACGTGTAATTGGATATGGGAAAAAAAGTCACAGCAAGCTAATGTTCATAATAATCTTACTAGCATTAATTAATACTATTCAAACTTTTGATTTGAATTAACACTAGTTTTTAATTTCAGAAAACATATTTCCAGTTTGACTTCCAAGACTAGTCTACTTAAAATAGATAAGCTTTTCAATTATAAATGTTCATGCAATGATTTTATGTTTTTACATAGTAAATAAATACCTGTTAACACCATAGTAGTCATCAGTTTCCTATTATTTAGCTATACTTTTTGTTTTGTTTTGCAAAGACTGTAAATAATCTATTCTGAATATTTTAGATTGCTTGCTCTCAGATGTACTAGCCACAGAAATATATGACCAACAATATTTCCATTGATTTTTTAAAAATTTAGTGTTACAAAAATGTTTATTTTGAAAGAGTAGGTATAATGAAAGTGATCCCAAATAATGTCTTTAATGAATGGCTAGTGTATTTCTTTCTGTGGATTCATGGGTAGCCCCTATTGGCTGGTTTATGTGATGACTTCCAGGGAACTGAATATTGAACAATATTGGCTTTGTATTAATGGTGAGAAAACTGAAGAAACCACAAACTTTCCTGAACTTGAGCAGCCCTTCTTTCTGAGGTTATGGATAGCTTGGCTTTTTGTCCTGATGAGAATAAAAGGTAGCTTTTGTGTGTCCTTTCTGTTTGGGTCACTTTGTGAAGAATGTGACATATGGAAAGAACCCTGAACGTGAGACCGAAGGAGCAAGCTGTGGTTCTAGCTCTTGTTTGTGTGATACTGAGTAAGTCACGTGAACTCTCTGAGCCTCAATTTCTTCTCTTCAATAAAGCAGAAATAATACTCTTCATCCCAAAATATTCTCCAGTAATTGTGGTATAGTTAAAATGTTTTATGCACTGTGAAGCACATATACAGATGTAAGTATTATTGGTATATGGCCTTTGATGTTATACACTCTTTAATCTTTCTTTATTTCACAGAAAATAATTTTTTGGTATGACTGAAATTTGTATATATTAAAGGAGTAGAACCAATATATTACTTGACCAATCCTTGGGGAATGTGGCACTGTCTCTGTTGCACATCACAGTCATTAAGGGGACTTTCCTTGACTGAACATCCAGTGGTGAACCTCTTTCCACATGGGACTGCCTTGGGGTCAGGGGTCTTCTTGCCTTGACAGTGGTCACAGGGCTTGATTTGGTTGATGAAGTGCGTTGTGGGGTGTCTTTTTTTTTTTACTATGCCATTCATGTAATTTCTTCCCAAAGTGGAAAGAACTCATCACTTGGACTGTTTCGTAGAACGCAATGGTATATTAACCATAAAGATTTAGAAAATTAGATGTTTATTTGTCATATAAGACTTGGGAACTTCTGAAAGAGTATAAAACCAAGTGTGGGAAGAAGAATAAGAAGGGGCTTGTGGTGGTAAAGACAGATGTGCTGCTGCTCCTGCATGGACAGGAGTCATCATGTTAATGCATTTTATTGGACATGTTCGCAGATGGAGTGAAGAATGAGAAGGCAGGATAAAATACATTCTTTCTATCCTGCTTCTTATTGAAGGAATGTTGAAACAATACACTGTGGTGACCATGTTGCTTTTGTATTTTCTGCTCTCCTGCTGGTCCTCAACTTCATCATACCTATTTTATCTAAGGCTTTGCGTTTTGTCTGATGTAAACTTATGGAACTTACCATTTTGTTACAGTAGCAATAGAAGAACAGTGACTTTTTAAAGGATTTATGTTTTTGATTGAGGGGCAGAGAGATGGAGAAGCAGAGAGAGGTCTTCCATCCGCTGGCTCACTCCCCAGATGGCCACAATGGCCGGAGCTTGGCCGATCCAAAGCAAGGAACCAATAACTTCCTCTGGGTTTCCCACATGGGTGCAGGAGCCTAATCACTTGGGCCGTCCTCCACTACTTTCCCAGGCCATTAGCAGGGAGCTGGATCAGAAGTGGAGCAGCTGGGTCTTGAACCAGTGCCCGTATGGGATGCCAGTGCCACAGGCGGATGCTTAACCTACTGTGCCACAGCGCTGGCCCCTAAAAGAATACTTTTTATTAATTAATGCCTTGTTGAGGAAAAGACATGGAAGCGCTAGTGTGATTTTTGAAACAGGACAAAAGAGGAAAATGGTTTCCAAGTACTCTAGTCTGAGAACTAGTTTTATATTACAAATTTTCAACAGTCTACAGCAAACTGAGAAAAGGGGCAGAATGTATTGATTTTTGTGTAAAGCGTATTTTATTAATTTGAAGCGCTGCACCTTGGGGGCCAGTATGTGCTGCAGTGAGGTGAGCTGCTGCTTGCAATACTGGAATCCCATATCGGAGCACTGGTTCACATTCCAGCTGCTCCACTTCTGATCCAGCTCCCTGCTAGTGTGTCTGGGAGAGCAGCAGGGGTTGACCCAAGTGCTTGGGCCCCTGCCACCGACGTGGGAGACCAAGATGGAGGTTGAGGCTCAGGCTTCAGCCTGGACCAGTCCAAAGCGTTGCAGTCATTTGGGGGTGAACAAGTGGATGGAAGATCGATTTCTCCTCTTTCTCTTTCTCCCCTACCATAAATAAATAAATAAATAAATAAATAAATCTTTTTCTTTTTTAGTACAAGAGCTGTACTTTTTCCAAGATAATATTTTTCCTATTTTGGGGTTAAAAAAAAAAGAAAAGATGGTTTTATGATACAGTAGCAATAGATAGAAAATATACGTTTGGCTTTCTCTTTACCTGGAAAAGTAATGAAACTGGTAGGCCTATTTTGGACCCTCTGAAATTTGGTTGCTTTTTGTTCCTGTTTTTGTTTTTGAAATTCTACTTGACTACGAAATCTAGCAACTATTTCCTGATGTACTAAATTAGAGAAAGAGAAAAATCCCATTATCTGGCCCTGTCATTAGTCAGCTGTGTTACTTAACCTCTCTGCATATGCTCTGATATTTGCCACATGGAAACTTAACACCAGATACTTGCTATCCCATAAGATTATGAAGTAAAATAAGACCATATCTAAGTAGGACTCTGTAGAAGTTGCCATTTTTATAAGTTACTATCAGCAAAGATAGTAACTTAATCTTCATAATAATTGGCAAAGATTTCAACAAAAATCTGTAAACTTTTCATTAACTTAGCGGTCATAATTGACAAATATTATACAGAGAATAGTATGGAATGGGATAGGATGGTGTGGAATGAGTATTTGAAGGTGATGGTCTTCTTAACAAGTAATGAAATTCATCTTCTAAAATTTAGCCGTTTTGGGGTGGGCATTTAATGCAGTGGTTAAGAGGTCACTTGGGACACCCATATCCCACATCAGAGTGCCTGGGTTTGAGTCCCGGCTCCACTGTTGCTAATGCACAACCTGGGAGGCAGCAGATAACAGCTCAAGTACTTGGATCTCTGCAAGGGATATCTGGATTGAGTTCCGGGCTCCTGGTTTTGGTGTGAGTCAGCCCTGGCTGATGCAGGCTTTTGGGGAATGAACCAGTGGAGGCAATCAATCAATCAATCTCTCTCTCTCTCTCTCAATGAAAATAAGAAAAAATAAAATCCGGTCATTTTTTATATTTCTACGTTATTTTGTCAAACAGTCACTGTCTCTTCAAGAATGGCTACTCAGCAAAGGGACATATATCCAGAGTTTGTTTGGTATGAGGAAAAAATACATGATTCTAAGTGCCATTTACACCAATATGCATAGAATTGAACACCAGTCATGTTTTTTGTTTGTTTGTTTTGTGTGGATTCTTTCTATCTGAGAAGACTGGCAAAGTTAATTGAACAATTCTAGTAAACGGTAGATAGAAGAATAAATGACATTAAAATAAAAGAAGGTGAGGCCGGTGCTATGGTGTAGTGGGTAAAGCCACCACCTGCAGTGCTTGCATCCTATATGGATGCCAGTTCAAGCTCCACTTCCGATCCAGCTCTCTGCTATGACTGGGAAAGCAATAGAAGATGGTCCAAATCTTTGGGCCTCTGCATACATGTTGGAGACCCAGAAGCAGGTCCTGGCTCCTGGCTTTGGATCGGCCCAGCTCTGGCTGTTGCAGCCATTTGGGGAGTGAACCAGCGGATGGAAGACCTCTCTTGGTCTCTTTGCCTCTGCCTTTCTGTAACTATGCCTTTAAAATAAATTAATTAATTAAAAAAATAAAAGCATATACTAGAACATTGCAAACTAGGATTTCTATCCAGAAGCAAATTAGCAGGGGGCATTTGGCACAGCAGTTAAGACACTGTTTTGGATGCCAACATCTCATATCATAGTCACTGAGTTTGGGTTCCATCTCTGCTGTTGATCCAGGTTCCTGCTAATGTGCATCCTGGGAGGCAACAGGTGATGGCTCATGCACTGGAGTCCCTCTGCCACCAATATGGGAGAGACCCAGATGGAATTCTGACATCCTGCCTTCAGCCTGGCCCGATACTGGCTGTTGTAGGCATTTGGGGAGTGAACCAGCAGATAGAA